CTAAAGACAGAAGTCTCATTCACTAAAGATGGCGTAATCTAGAGCTTTCCTGGCCAACCTTCACCCTTTCTAGCAGAGTCCATGACACTCCTTAAACCTGGAAGAGTCTTGGTGACAAGGTTCAGCAATGCTTACAGGAATATTCTATCCTTATCTATTTCATTTATTCAAATACCAAGCACTGACAATGTGCCAGACACATAGGTAAGACCGACAAGGTTTTTGTTCTCATGGAGTTTACATTCTAGTGGTACATAGGGATTCTGACCCTAAAGAAGCAAATGAATTAACAAGGTAATTTCAGAATGGTATGAAGAAAATGAAATTGGTTATGATGGGGTATTAAGAGAACCTATTGCCATTGAATTGATTAGACTTATAGAGACCCTGTATAGGGTTTTTGAGGCTGTCAATCTTGACAGACGCAGAAAAACTCATCTTTCTCCCATAAAGCAGTTGGTTGATTTGAAATACTGACCTCTTGGTTAGCAGTCTGGTGCTTATCCTACAGTGCCACTATAGCTGACCAGAAAAGACCCCCTTGAAATCTGAGACCTATATGAAGAGATGCTAGTCGTAAGAAGATCTAATAATTGGGTTCTTTTCATTCCAAGCTAATGCTACATCAATAGTCACTGCTTCTTGGGATCTACACCTCAGACTAACTGTGCAAAGGAAAAAGGCCCATTTCCACTTCAGTCCATTATCCTACTTAGAGAAACACTACCACTAGTGGGTTACAGTGGATCATGAGTTCGACTGCTAACACAAAGTCAGCAGTTCCAATCTACCAGTTGCTTCGCAGGAGAAAGATGAGGCTCTCAGCTCCTGTAAAATTGTATAGCCTAGGAAACACTGTACAGAGTTGCTATGAGTCGGAACCAACTCCATGGCACACAACCCCCACCACATTAGAGAATGTTAAATTTGGACCTTGGGGTGTTGCCTTTGAATTTGGGTGCCAGACCATACGTGCCCAAGATGTCTCCTTGGGCTTCCTGGCTGCTTTGTTCATTTAGTGGGCAGGCAAACCGGAGAAACAGGCTGGCGTGTATACACATGCCAGGAACCAAAGAAAGCAGGTAGCCTTTGGTGTCAGTGATATGCTTTTGGATTTAGGCTGTAGGTGGACCTTACCTAAGGACAGCAAAAAGATGTTAAGTAAAATTCCAAAAGACTTGAAAAGTCTCTTTTGTAGCAACATGGCCCAAAACAACCTGACTTAAATATTGATGCCTCAGTTTTTGCTTCCATTTCCACACAGGCATACGAGTAAACACAAGTCAGGCAACACTGATTTGTATGCACATTTTGGAAATCTGAGGTATTAAAAGTGCCAACCTTGGCTACTTTTTTTTTTTTTTTTTTTGGTTGTTAACTTTTTACTGTGAATTGAGTAAAGATTTACAGAGAAGATGAGCAGTTTTGCATTCAACAATTTATACACCTTGTTTCATCTCAATGACTGCAATCCCCTTCACGCTACAACAGTTATTCCACTTCTTCCCTGGGCTTCCAATTTCCACTCTGCCCACCTTCCCATCCTTCTCAACGTTGACCTTAGGGAAATGCTGCCCTTTGGATTTTGAATGACTGACCACTCCATGGTGAGCAGACCTTACTAGTGCTGTTGTCCCTCCTATATACCTAGTAACTGCTTGGTGAAAATTGGGCCATGAGAATGAGTTCCTTTCTAGACCTAATGGGTAGTCAAGGGCCATAGTTTTGGGTTCCTTCCATCTCTTTCTGACCAGTAAACGTGCTCTTTTAAAATTTTTATAATTTTGAGTTCTGTTCTAAGATTTGTGGCTATTTTATAAACTGATATGCCTAAAAATTGAATTAGCCTGTAGAGGGCATAACACAACTGCTCTGGTTTTCTTTGCCATAGACAACAGCTCAGCATTTATCAATGAGTTCTTTGGCTGATCAGTTTGAAATTTATTGAGCAAAAAGTTCATTCAGCCTTTTCCTCTATAATTAAAGCAGTGTTTTTCAGTACCCTTGAGTTGGTTTCCACTCATTGCAATCCTGTAGCACAGGGGTGGGGTACTTTTATTCTGCCAAAATTTATAACATCATTCACAGGCCTCACAAAATTATCAACTTTAAAATTAGCCTGCTTTAATTGGTCAAACATTTAATTCACTCACTCCTAATGTGATGTGGAAGGAGCTCTGGTAGTGTAGTGGTTACGAATTGGGCTGCTTATCTCAACGTCAGCAGTTCGAAACTACCAGCGGTTCCTCAGGAGAAAGAGGAGGCTTTCTGTTCCCGTAATATTTACAGCCTCAGAAACCCTGTACAGGGTTGCTATGGGTTGGAATCAACTCGACAGCACTTAACAACAACAACAATGTGATGTGGAGGAGCTCTGGTAGTGTAGTGGTTATGAGTCGGGCAGTTAACCTCAAGGTCAGCAGTTCAAAACTACCAGCCATCCTGCGGGAGAAAGATGAGGCTCAACAACACTAGTAAGCTATGCTCCCGTAAAGATTTACAGCCTCAGAAACTCTATACAGGGTTGTGATGAGTCAGAACAAACTCCTGGCACCCTACTACCACCAATGAGATGTGGTGCGGTGCTGTGGGTTAATGCGCTGAATTGCAAGGTTGATTTGAACCTCAAGGTCAGCAGTTCAAGCTCACCAGTTGCTCCTTGGAAAACTTACATAGGGTCGCTATGAGTCAGAAAGGGCTGGATGGCACTTAACAACAACAGTAATAATAGCTAGCAATGTGATGGCTGAAACTGCGGTTGTCTTGGCAAGGGTCAGACCAAATGATTTCCATGCCTGAGGGCCACAGGTCCCCACCTCAACTGTAGACGGTTTCTGAGAAGTGGTTAGTGGGTTTGAACAACTGACCTTGCTGTTGTTAGCAGTCCAGTGCTTATCCTATAGTGCCATACGTGCATGAAACTTGAAAGAAAAAAAAAAGGTGAAGCATTTTAATTAATGTATGGTAACTCGTGTCATAGATTCTTCTTGCAAGGCAAGATACAATAATCCATGATTCTCAAACCTGAGACAGCTAAAGAGTTCAGACATTTGGAAAAGGAAATAAAACCAAAAAGTAATTCGGAATTATGGAAGGTATCTGAGGTATTAAGGATACATGTAGATAAAAGGAATAAGAGGTCAAAATAAAATAAAAGATGGGGAATATATTTAAACAAGAATATATGGAGATTTAAACGAATATTCGGGAATGTAAACATCTCTTTAGGGGAGAAGTTGTGTAAAAACAAATATCACCCTTGTGGTCTAACTTTCAGCCAAGCAGTATTTAAGTATGTGGCGGAAACAGCGCCACTAGTAAGGTAAGCTCTCTCTGAGTGATGGAACGATCAATCATTCAACATCAAGGGAACAGAATGTACTTAAGGACAAAGGTGAGCAGGGATGGAAAGGAGGCTGCTATGGAGATGGGAGCTGCACGGAGGAAGCAGGGTAACTGTTGTTCCTTGGGAGCTGGATTGCAATCATTGAGATGAAACTAAGTGTATTATTGGTTGAATGTAAAACTGATGATCTTCTCTATAAACTTTCAGTCAATTCACAATAAAGTTTTAAAAAACAAAACCAAAAGAATGTGTCTGACACATTCTTCTCATTTCCTTTTTCTTTTTCCCCACAGTTTTCAAAGTAATTTTATAATGAGACGTTTTAAAAGTGTATTTTGCAGGGAGACTTAACATGATCTATTCGTTACAATACTTACCAAGGATGTTAAGGTCACATCTGGATGTTAAAAATAGGTGTGTCTCTTCTTCCTTCAAATACAGGGCACCGAACACTTTTAACAGTATTTCCCCCCAAAGAATGAGAAAAAATATCAAAGTAGTGGGAATTATCTATCTTTCCCAAATGGAGAACGAGTCTCCTAAGGGTACACAAGGTCACAAACGTGAGCCAAAGGTAGAGATGGAAGTAGTATTTATAGTGCGCTGACTTCAGTCCTGTTGGGTTAATGCCGCTCCTTATCTTACGCCTTTGGAATTCTCGGGCTGGCAGATCACTGAAACCCCAAGCAAAAGCGGCCAGGGCCTTCGAGATCCCAGATTGCAGGAAATGCTGGTTTACTCCCCTGCCCACTCCGAGACCGTTCACCTCCACCTTTAAGCGTGCCTCAGCACGCTGGCAAAGAGCCCAGAAAGGGGAGCTGGAGAGCGACTGGACTGGGTGAATAATAAATATAGGTGATTGCATTTTTCTTTCCTTTGTCGCAACGACAATTACTATGAGTACTATCACACCACCTGGCAGTTACCCACCTTAGTGTGTGAGGTCTGAGCGAGGAGGCTTATTTCACACACCAGTTGACTGGTACTCATGTGTATTATGAAGGTTTGTCGGAAAACGAGTAGCACGAAGGAACCCTATGAGTTTAGTAGATACTGGCGCCCCCACGCTCCCACAACAGCTTTTCCCGTCCTGGGCTGGGTGGGTAGCCGACAGTCTTCTAGCGGCGCCCAGTTCCGGAGAGCTCAGTGCTCGCAAGTCTACGGCTTGAGCGAGAAGGCAGTGAGGCAGCCCCTACCACCGAGACGGAGATGGAGATGGTTACTTAGGAGGGGCCAGTGGGGCCAAGGGAAGGAGACGCCCCCCTACCGCAGTCCGGCGCCCCCTTGCCGGCAGCCCGCCTGCCTCCCCGGCAGCGGGGCGCCGGGCTTCGCGGACCCTTCGGGCACTTCCGCCGCGGGCTCGGCTCCTTTCGAGTGGAGGGGGGGCAGGGCGGGGCCGACGCCCTGGTAGGGAGCGCGCCGCGCTGGTGAGCGCCCTCCCAGTGCGCGCGCGCGGTGCCGGAGTCTTGCTGAGGCCCGCCCATCCCCCACACGGCCCCCACACCCTCGCCGCGCCCCCATGCGAGTGGCGGCGGCGACGGCTGCCGAGATTGGAATCTGCCTGCTGGGGCTGGGCGAAGGAGGAGGGAGGAGAGGACTGTAGGAAGGCTTGGACTCCAGCGCGTCACGCTGTCCGCGCGAGACGACTAGCAGACGATCGCGAAAGGGGCGACCGTGCCAGGGGCCGCTGCACGCGAGGGCGGAGGCCAAGCGGGGCCCCCGCTGCGCCCCGGCGGCTCGCCTCGCCTAGTCCCCCCTGCTCAGCGCCGAGGACTGGAGATGAGTTCCCCGGAGTCTGGGTGAGTTGGCTCGTTTGGAAAGTGCGTGAGCGTGCGGCGAAAACCCCGCCGCGGCGGAGGGGCAGGCTCGGGGCTGGACGCAGCGAAGTTTCTAAGGGAGCCGGCCTGCAGGAAGGCCCGGGCGGCGGCGGCAGGGCCCCAGCTAGGGGGCGGCCCGGTGCACCCACAGGGCCCTCGCGGCCTTGATTGTTTTGAGTCGGCGCCTCGCAGCGCCCCCCCAGGCCGCGGCTCCCATTGGGTCTCTGTCCCGACCCCCACCCCGCCCGAGACCACCGTTCCTCCAGACTGTGGGACGTGGTGTTCTTCCTGCTCCCGAGGCGTCCCGCCGCCTGGCCCCTCTTTTGTTTCCCACCCCCGGGTTCGGGCCAGAGTTTGGGAAGGCGGTGTTGGCGAAAGCAGCCTGCAAGTACGCGTCCTGAATCCTTAAATGGGAAAAGCGCTCACTCCTCTGGCCCTGTGCTTCGAGGTTGATATTTGTGATTTGCCTCCATACGCGTCTGCAAAAACAAAGCAAAAAGTAGGTTTCATGTAGATATAAAACAAAGTGTTTTTAGTTCCATCTCAAAACTTGTCCAAGGGTGGGGAGAAAGGTGCCGGGTCGGGTCTCGGAGGTCTCTGTTCACCTGTTGTACTTCGCTGCCATGTCTGTTGTGATTCTGCACTTCAGTTTCTGAAAACTTTTCTGCTGGGTTGAATGTGCCCTTTTTGTTTTTCCAGACTCCTAGTGGAAAGGTCTGGCAAGAAAAAAAGTTAGCTTGCGTCAGGGAAGAAAAATAATGTGCCATGTGTTAGGGTCTGACTTTTTAGCGTTTTGTGTTCTCAACTCGTTTCATTTGGTTAAAATGCTGCCGTTTTTCTTGTGTGATCAAAATGCTGCAGGTTAGTAAACTGTCCTGAGTACCTAGGATGAACTTGGCATGTTCACCTGTGTTACGTCACTTAATCCTCATGGTGAACCCCTGATACTGTAGTCTACGTTTTTTTAGGGGAGGAAAACGAGACTCAGAAGGTTAAGTAATTTGTCTTAAATGGGCTGGGATTTGAACGAGGATATTTCCTACTATTCAGGAGTCGTTAAATGAGCCAGCCATATGTTGAGTTAGAACACTCTTTCTGCAAACACACATTTGGGGAGCATTTTTCAATTAAACTCATACTTGAAAGAGTAGTTAGACAACTGAATTAAAGTAGAGTAACATGTTCATCATAGTTTTCAGTTATTCAAGTAAAAAGTTTTTGAACCAGAATCAAAATGCAGGCAGTTCTCAGATATAGGAATGGGTGGTTAGTGGCAATGAACCCTGGTGGCGCAGTAGTTAAGCAGTTGGTTGCTCATCAGAAAGGTTAGCAGTTGGGGCCTCCAATCGCTCCACAGGAGAAAGATGTAGTCAACTTCCATAAAAGTTGTTGTTGTTACGTGAGTTCAGTCTGTTCCTACTGATAGCAACTCTGTATAGGGTTTCTATGGAGTTGCTGGTAGAGTTGAGTGCTAGATCGTATGGTTAGCAGGCCAGTGTTTATCCTACAGCGCCACACCAGGACTCCCTTAAAGATTACAGCCTTGGAAATCCTGGAGGGCAGTTCTACTATGTCCTCAGAGGATTGGTAAGAATTGGAACCCACTCGACAGCAGCTGGTGTGTTTTTTGGTGTGGTTGAGTTGCTTGAAAGGCTGATTGAAATTTAGAAAGCATTTTTAATCGAACCAGTGTTCTATTTCTGTTTGACTTACCCTCTGTATTCTCCATGGAACTTGTTTCAGCTCTTTTCATCTTCCTCATTTCTCCCAACCCCTTACTGAAAAAGAACTTTACCTGATTACCTGATTCCTTCTATCATCAACTTCTTCCCTTCCATTTCAGAGAAAGTATTTTTTCCCCCCTTATTACTTGGTTAATCGACTCCTGGTGTGGTGCTCTAGGATCAGCACTGGACTGAAAACCACAAGGTCAATGTTTCAAACCCACCAGCTGCTTCTTGGAAACCCTACACAGGTTCGCTATGAGTTGTAACTGACTCTGACCGCTTTTAACAACAAAGATGACAACTTGGTTAACACCTTACTCGTTCTTTCTTTTTCTGCTTAGTGGGGTATGAATTAAACTCCCCTTCTCATTATGGGATGCTGCTTCTTGGAAACAAACAGTTGGATCTGACTAGATGACACAACAAAAACTATCTATGAATTCTGAAAAGTAACCAATGTGCTTAATGTTTCTTCATTTTAAAACCTTACCTTAAGTCTGTTATTCCCTCAAATTGTCTTGTTGCTTTTCCTTTTTAAAACTTTTTAATTGTGAATTGAGTGAAGGCTTACAGACAAGATGATCAGTTTTACATTTTACAAATCATATACTTTGTTTCATTTCAATGATTATAATCCCTTCCATGCAATAACATTTATCCAACTTCTTCACTGAGGTTCTCATTTCCATTCCATTTTCCTTCCCATCCCTTCTTAACTTTGTTCTTAGGTAAATGTTGTTGCCTTTTGATATTGAGTAATTGACCATACCATAGAGAGCATACCTATATACCTAGCTACTACTTGGCTGAAAATTGGACCATGAGGATGAGTTCTGTTCTAGACCTAAAGGTTGATCGAGGGCTGTAGTCTCAGGTTCCTCCAGCCTCTTTCTGACCAGTAAGCCAGGTCTTTTTTTTTTTTTTTTTAAATAAGTTTTGAGCTTTGTTCCACGTTTTGTCCCACTCTATGTGGGACCTTCTAATGTGATCCCTTTAGAGCAGTTGGTATTGGTAGCCGGGCACCATCTAGTTCTGGTCTCAGAGTTGTGACTAATGTTCACCTGCTCCATTGGTCCATTGGACTAGTCGATTACAAGTATCTTCCATTTTTACCACTCTTCTTGCTTCTGCACATGGAGAGACCAATGTTGTTGTTGTTGTTAAGTGCTGTCAAGTTGATTCCAACCCATAGAGGCCCCCTGTATAGGGTTTCCAAGGAGCAGCTGGTGAGCTTGAACCACCTACCTTGCAGTTCAAATGGCTTTGCAGTTTGGCGCATTAACCCACAGCGCCACACCGGGACTCCAATAGTTGCACCTCATATGACCACTCATGAGTGTTTAAGATCCCAGATGTTATTCAACAAAGTAGAATATAGAACATTGTCTTTGTTGTTAAGTGCTGTCGAGTTAATTCCGACCCATAGTGTCCCAGTATAGGGTTTCTGAGGAGCAGCTGGTGAGCTTGAATCGCTGACCTGGCAGTTCAAACGGCTTTGCAGTCTGGCACATTAACCCACAGTGCCACACCAGGACTCCTAAGATGATTGATGGTATCTAAAAAATTTTCTTTCTTTTGCCCCTTGTATGCTCCATCACATTCATAAGTATGCAGCAAAGGTAAAAATACCAGTATACAAACAACCTTTTTCAAACCCTTATAAGTCTCTGTGTATACTCCCACTCTCCCTCACATACCTGTTCAGCCTGTTTATCTGTCCATCTGTCTACAGTAGAACATTGTTGTTCCAGAGTTGTATATATAGCAGTATTTACCTCTATCCCCTTTGGCCCTTGCATACCTCCCTGTATCTTCACCTATATTTATCATTCTTCTGTCTACCTCCTTCTTGTATATCACATTCCCCATCACCCAAGTTAATGTGTCTGTCCTCTAGCTAGTGAGTTGCTCTCCCTTCCCGCCCACCCCTGGTAACCATCAAAGAATGTTTCTTTTAGCATGGAGACTAAAATGTTTTCTTGACTTTTTACAATAATGATCTCATAAAATATTTGTCCTTTTGTGGTTGACTGATTTCACTCAGCATAATGTCCCCTAAGTTCATCCATGTAATGAAGTGCTTTGAAGATTCATCATTATTCTTCAGTGCTACATAGTAGTCTATTGTGTTTATGTACCAAAGTTTGTTTATCCATTCTTCCATTGTTGGGCATTTAGGCTATCTCCATCTTTTTTGCTGTTGTGAAGAGTACTGTGATGAACATTGGTATGCATATATTCATATCTTGGATCTATACCAAGTAGAGGGATTGTGGGTCATACAGTGTTTCTATTTCCTACCTTTTGAGGAAGCACCACACCATTTTCCACAGTGGTTGTACCAGTTTATAGTCCCACTGGCAATGTAAGGGTCCCATCTCTCCACATCCTCACCAGCATGCATTTGTTGTTTTCTATTTTTTTGAACTTTGCTATTAATGCTAGTGTGGCACTGTAGGATAAGCACTGGAGCGCAAGGTTGGTTTGAACTCACCAGCAGCTCCTTGGATACCCTGTACTGGGTTGCTGTGAGTCAGAATCCACTGGATGGCACTTAACAACAGCAGGAGTAAGGACTATGACTAGGTATAAGCTAGGCCTAGGACTTCTTTAAGTGTTAGAGTCATGGTTAGGACTAGCATTTGTGTTAGGGCTAGGAGTAAGACTTGATTTCGTTTCTATGGTTATAGTTAGGTTTCTTTTTTTTCCCCTTGAAATATTGATTTACTCTTCATTTGGAAGTTCTGTAACATTTTTCCCTGTTTTTACTTTATGGGTTTTGTTGCAAATGGGTTCCTGGTTTTCAGTTTTGTAGGTTTGTTTTACTTCTACATGTGGTTTGAGTTTTTTGTGATAATGTCGCATGTATTGGTCTTCAGGTTGTTGGTTCTCTGTCTAAAGAACTCCTTTTTTAGGATCTTTTGGAAGGCTGATGTAGTTTCTTAAATTCTTTTGTTTCTGTTTATTTGGAAATGTATTAATTTTGCCATCATATTTGATGAACACTTTAACTTAGTATATGAATCTTAATGAGCTCTGGGCTACATGTGGGGCTGCTAACCGCAAGATCAACAGTTTGAACTCACCAACTGCTCCACAGAAGTCCTATACAGGGTCACTGTGAGTCAGAACAGACTCAATGGCATCATACAACAGTATGATTTTGGTTGGCAGTTTTTCCTTTCAGAGTTTTATACATGTCATCCTGTTGTTTTTTTGCCTGCATGGTTTCTCCTGAGAAATCAGAGCTTAGTC